AAACATTTTAAACCAATTAAAAACCAAAGAATACATATTCTATTCATGAACGAAATATAAAAATGTTGTCGGCATTAATTAACCCATTGAGGTTGATATGACAAAAAACAAAAAAAACCAAACCAATCTAAACCAAAGAATACATATTCTATTAACCAATCGAATCCAGAAAAAAAATGTTGTCGGCATTAAATAACCCATTGAGGTTGATATGCCGTAAAACAAAATAAACCAAATAAATTCTAAACCAAAGAATACATATTCTATTCATATTGAATTTTCCTAAAAATGTTGTCGGCATTAAATAAGGAATTGAGGTTGATTTAAAATTAAAATAAAATAAACCAATTCTAAACCAAAGAATACATTTTTTCACCGTCTTTATAATCTTTCCTAAAATGTTGTCCGCATTAAATAAAATGGCAGGTTGAATGCAGTAAAACAATTTAAACCAAACCAATCTAAACCAAAGAATGGATTTCTATTCAACGAATCTATCCTAATCCAAAATCATTAAATAACCCATTGAGGTTTTAAAAATCCAATTCCATGGTATTGAACTTATTCTTTAAAGATTTTTGGATCTAACTAACGCCTATATCCACTTCCCAAAATGCAGATTTCAATACCCATTAAACAAAGTGGAAACTTGGAGAATAAATTAACAGGGGAAACGTGACATCCAAGACATGGCACGTTGAATTTGAATAGAAGAATTATAATAAGTTAAAAGATGAGGACAAATAATAATGTAAATAGTGAACGTTTTTTCTCATTTTGTCTACTTTGTGACGGGGTATTTTATTGGTAAATCTTATGGCAGTCACTTTTCTATCAGGTTTATTCGAAAATTTCATGGCGTAATAGATAGAATTAAATGTATATCTTTGTGCTATATCTTTATTGATCTGAGCTGGCATAAAATATCTAGGTATCTGCCCCACACCTCGCAAAATTATTTTTATGTCCCAACATATATGACAACCATACAATGGTTATAGCAGCAACATTCCTGTCACCATTTTTACAGAGTACGATGGGTAAATTGTCTCATTTTAGATTTTTAATTTCGCGCATAATCGTTGTTTGCCTTTGATTTTGTCGACTGCACAGTAAAGGTTGGTCTGTTGGGCATTGTCTTTGAGAAAAAGAATGCCGTGGCGCAGTTCATTCCACCCGAAATTTGGAAGTAGCATGTTATACTGCTTGGCATTTGCACCAGAAGTTTCATTATGAACATTTTGGCTTGTTTGGGTGTCAATCTGAGGACAGTGCAGAAAGTTCGGAAAGAGTTGGATGAGTCTAATGGTGATCACGAAGGTGTTTGGAGTGATCACTAGTGATGGCGACATTATTTCTCCATTCATCTTCTCACACGGCCTCAGACTCAACACGGTGGTCTACATCAAGTTCCTGCTCGACAGACGGATGCTGAGAATTCCATAGACTAAACATTCTACTAACGAGGACGTTTTGAAGGGAAATGGTACCGAAATGACTCAGAATCTAAAAGGCGATTTTGAAAAGAAACATATGGGCTTTGTGGCGTAATGGATAAAGGCTGGTGAGAACACGGAGAGCCGAGTTATAAATCAGACGAGAATATTAGATGGTTTTACTGCCTCAAATATCATATTGAGAAATATAAATATATCTCTTCTCGCCCCAGCTATGGAATATGAATAGTCCAAGATTCATTGGGTTGTAGAAAATTTGTTTGGACATTTCAGTCTAATGGCCTCTTTTTTAACGTCGATATAAATTCAAGGCAGAACAGGGATTAACAGTCATTATGACGAAAAGATAAATCTTACAAAGTACTAGAAAAGATAATTTTTATTTAAGAATTTATGATCCCCCACATCCTCATAACTATGAAAAACATATGGTTGTTCAATATATATATATATATATATATATATATATTACAAATTGAGTTGTAACAAAAATGTCCGGGTTTCAATTTTCTCGGTAGTGTAAAAACTGGTGGTGAGTCCCAAATATAGAAAGAAACGGTGCTTTCTGCATTCTGTTGAATTTTTCAGACTCGATTAATAACTTAATTTTTGATTATTTAAATCCTCTTAATTATTTATATCTGTATATCCTTGCTTGAACCAGCTTCTAATGCTTTGGACTGATTTGAGATTTTTGGTGATAGTAGTCATTGGCTCGTAAACGACAGTCCTATGGGTAAAAAAACTAAGCTGATTTCCACCACGGAATAAATGATCGATATATTTTATATCGACTTTAATTCGTTATAGAAACTGAGATGGCCCGTTGGTACGGCGTTTGCCTGCTATCGTGACTGTTCAGGTTTCACGGTAGTAGATGGTATTTATCAATCCACCCACGGGGATCGAATGTGGCACAAGGCTTTTTTAATGTGGGTATCTCTGAGCTCGTAGGCCCAGCCAAAAATAAATAACCATCCAAACCCGCCGAGGCGGGCCAGTTCCGTCAACCTCCCCCAACGAAACCCTACCCTTCGGCGGAGCTTCGTCCGGGTTCCTCCCTGCAAGCAGAGAGTTCGACAGACACCCGACCCGGCAGCTCACAAAGCGCAGATACTACACTTTGATCCTAGCCACCGGGCCGAGCGGGTATTCTTTTTATAGATACTTCGCGGTAGTATATAATCATCTGATGAGTCCCAAATAGCGCTTTGGTCTATACCTTTAGCCATTATCAAGGATGATTAAATTTTTCAGCTTAAGTATTGTTTTTGCGTTCTGTGTATGTCTTAGTGGCACTTAGTGGAAATAAGGTTATATATATATATATATATATATATATATATATATATATATATATATATATATATAGCTAATGTTAATGGTAAATATACACATACAAAATTCCCAAAAATATATAAATATATATACATAGGTGCATACACATACATGTATATTTTTTGAAATAAAAATTTTGAGGATAGAATCCAGGTAAAACTCAATGTCAGGACAGAGAAAGGATATAATAAAAATGCTTAAACACTAATATTCCATTGTCATATTTTATTCCATTGGAATCGTAAATACGATCAATAAAAGACCTACAAATTCAAAAAGAAACAAAAAAAAAAATGAAAAATAAAAATAGAATTTAGAGAGAGGTAAAGTATGAAACCGTGTTATTCCATGGGAAGAATCTTAAAAGCTAAAGAGAGGGGTAACAGAAATGAGAAATGTGGGATATTTAAACCTTGAAGTTGTTTTTTCTGTTTTCTATTTATAAATTTGTAGGTCTGATGAATTAAAATGAATATAAATATATTTCAAATAAATAATTATAAAGATGGAATATATTGTTATTCCGTTTTTTATATATATATATATATATATATATATATATATATATATATATATATATATATATATATACAACAAGGTTTGATTAAGCTTTTTATTTAATTTTATTGTGTTTAAAGAAATGTTTTCTTTTCTGGACACAGAGTGTGTAGAAAGAAAGTGTTCTTTAATTCTGAGCGTTTTTGGCTATACTCTTACCCCATTTATTTTATTTTGTTTTTTTTTTTAACTGGGTGAATGGGTTGTGTATATGTTTCTAGAGTTATAGGGATGTATTATTTTCCGAACACAGTCAGCACATTGTGGCCGTGTTCGTAGTTAATATTATTGAATGTTGGCTTTTTCTTTTATTATTATTAAGGCGTCCATTATTTTTAATCTTTTTTTTTTTAACATGTGGATCAGGTTATCATGCTTGTATTTTCTACGAGTATGTTTTGGATGGAGTCAGGCAAATTTGTGTGCGTGTGTTTAAATGTATCCTAATAGAGATGTGATCAGATAGATGCAACGTAAGTCGTCTGGATAGGCATGTGGTAGTGTGACCGATGTAATTATTTATGAGTTTGGTTTGATTAGAAACACAGTTTTTCTGGGGCAATAACTTAAAAACCAGAAAAAAAAAAGACAATCATCCTTGATAATTGCTAAGTTTATAATAAAAAGATCGGAATTACAGAACATTTTTATTTTATTACACACTCAATGTTCATAAAGAAATTAATTTAAAAAGAAAACCCATTATATGAAGAGAAATTACCAACCATATGTGTGAGCGATTACCTACACATACAGGTTAAGAAATAACTATTTATTTAATCAGTTGTGTTTAGACAAAACAATTCTCGCTGTTGTTAAACCGCGCTATAAAGTGTGTATTAATAATAGCACGTTTACGGTACGGCTCAGAATTTCATGGTTTACCCATTCATCCTTATGGATCTCATGGGAGCAACGCTATATTGTATGTGCATTTAAAGTTCAATGTTATTATCTATATTTTGTATTTATACCCCAATTTTATATTTATAATAAGCTTGAACTTTAAATATATGCAATAAATTAATATATATATAATGTATATTATATATATATATATATATATATATATATATATTTTGAAACTTGAATAAAGCATGGAATAATAATAATACAACACAAAATGTACTTAAACAAAATGTATTGACACAAGAACGTGTACACAATATTTACAGATAGTTTGGTATATTCTTGGGAAGACCGTTCCTGTAGAATGGGTTGACATTAGTCTTTTCGGGCAGAGTCTCTGGATTGAATCTCTTCTTCCTCACCCGTCTTCCCGGTACCAACCATATTTATATGGTCGGTACTCCACTATGTAAATAAGGTGGATTGTACCACAACATATATATATATATATATATTTGCATATATATATATATATAGACAGAAAATATGTTGATATATATATATATATATATATATATATATATATATATATACAGATAGATTCATAGATATTGACAGAAATATGTTGAAATATATATATATATATATATATATATATATATATATAAAAGAGAGAGACAGACAGAGACAGAGAGAAGAGGCTGAATGAAAGTAACAGTTAATGCGACATGGAGATTTAAGAAAATTAAGTAGATAGATAGATAGATACTGATTGAAATGTGTTAGGTAGGTAGGTAGCTAGACTGTGATTAAAATATGATAGATAGATAGATAGATAGATAGTGAAGAGATAGATAGATAGATAGATAGATAGATAGATAGATAGATAGATAGATAGCTATGAACAAATCTATAATATTTAGAAAAGGAAGAGGCCGTGATAGATAGATAGATAGATAGATAGATAGATAGATAGATAGATAGATAGATACTGGAGTGACTAAGATAGATAGATAGATAGATAGATAGATACGGAAGAGAATGAGATAGATAGATAGATAGATAGATAGATAGATAGATAGATAGATAGATAGATAGAACAAAATATAGATATGAACAAATCTATAATATTTAGAAAAGGAAAAGGCCGTGATAGATAGATAGATAGATAGATAGAATTTTAAATGAATAGATATATAGATAGATGAATGAACTGAATGACTAAGATAGATAAGATAGATAGATAGATAGATAGATAGATAGATAGATGAATAAATACGGAAGAGAATGAGATAGATAGATAGATAGATAGATAGATGAATAGATAGAACAAAATATAGATATGAACAAATCTATAATATTTAGAAAAGGAAGAGGCCGTGATAGATAATAGATAGATAGATAGATAGATAGATAGATAGATAGATAGATACTGAATAAAATGTGTTAGATAGGTAGGTAGCGGGCTAGCTAGCCAGCTAGTTAAATATAATAAAATGTGATAGATAGATAGATAGATACATGCCGACCGATAGTTATATCAACCGGGTATTAAATTCTAAACTCTGTGGCTGATTGTCCTTTTATTTCTGCTCGAGTTTCTGTTGACTCTTTTCATCTTCCCATCCAATCTCCATTGAGGTCAATACTTTTGAGACCTCATAAAATTCATACGAACTTTAAATCATCTTCTACAAAGATATTTTATGGAGCAGATGATTAATTTGCATTGCAAGTACCTTTTCCTGCTTCAACAAAGTGGTTAGCGGCCCGATCAAAAGAACACGGCCCGAAAAATGCAACTCTTGCGAAGTTCTGCATAATGATCGAGTTTATGTTATCTGTGTCGTCATCGGAACGACATCTCTTTTCCACTATACATCAGCCTCGGAAAATCGACTTTTTTATGCGCTATGTTTCTTCAGGCCGTGGGCGATCAAGACTCTCCACGACCTCCTCCCGCTTATTTGCACTATTTCCATACTGTTGTCCCCATTATCATTAATTTTATGTTGATCCGTGTAACTGACAGGGAAATGAAACCATTATTTAAATAATCTATATATTTAATCGATAATTAATTTAAAAAAATAATTTATTGGTGTAATGGATAAGTCTCGGATTAAGGAATTAATTCCAATCCATTACATTCACTTACGTGCTAATACCCTTGGGAAAAGTACGAATCCTCTTCTAAAACCAGTTAAATTACAGGACAGACCGGATTCTATAGACTTGAATGGCAACTGGTCTACCGCAGAAAGAAATGGCAACCTACTGCAGGAAAAAAATCTGCCTCGTCAGTCATGTATCGAAAGATACATGATCGCCTAAGCGTGTATCACGCATAGCACATAAATGAATTTAAGAGGCATGGTTGAGTAATGGATATCGGCTCGGACTGAGGAATCGGAGAAATCCAGTCGAATCCATTACATTCACTGACGTGCTAATACACCTGAGAAAGGTATGACTCCTCTTCTTCTCTTCCCAGAGCTATAGGTAAATAACAGGACAGACCGGGTTCTATAGCCTTGGATGGCAACTGGTCTACCGCAGAAAGAAATGGCAACCTACTGCGGGAAAAATCTGCCTTGTCAGTCATGTATCGAAAGATACATGATCGCCTAAGCGTGTATCACACATGGCACATAACAGACTTTTAGGAGGCACGTTGGAGTAATAGATAGCATCTTGGATTGAGGAATCGTAGAGCCGAGTTCGAATTCCAGTCGAATCCGTTACATTCACTTACGTGCTAATACCCTTTGGAAAGGTATGAATCCTCTTCTTCTCCTCCTGATATAGGTAAATAGCAGGGCAGACCGAGTTCTATAGCATTGGATGGCAACTGGTTTAGCTCAGAAAGAAATGGCAACCTACTGCGGGAAAAAATCCTGTTTCGTTAGTTATGTATCGAAAGATACAGGATTGCCTAAGCGTGTATCACTCATGACACACAACTAACTGATTTATTTAATCATGTTGCACAGATTGCCTTTCTGTAAAGATGTCTTTTTTTTTTTTTTATTTTGAACTAGATTTATAAAAAAAAAACGCACTCCGTGAGGTGTCTTAATCTAGCACCTGTGAATCAAAACTAAATGCCTCTCTGGTCGAGCTTAGGAAACAGCAATAAAGATTTTGAAGAAATAATTTTGAATTCCTCAATTCATTCCTTGGAAATTCAGAACATCATTTTAACTCCCATTCGGGGTAAAAGATCAGTTTGGTCTGAACGTCTAATTTCGGACGAAAATTGAGTTCCTCAATTCCCAATCCTCCTTGGAACGTCAAGTGAGTTGGGTTCAAATAAACATTCGTTAGAAACAAAGGAAAGAATGCTAAACTGTTATGCAATATCAATCCTTCTATATGTCTGTGACTGATCGTCGTTCTCCTCAGATCACAATCCTCCTTGGAACGTCAAGTGAGTTGGGTTCAAATAAACATTCGTTAGAAACAAAGGAAAGAATGCTAAACTGTTATGCAATATCAATCCTTCTATATGTCTGTGACTGATCGTCGTTCTCCTCAGATCACAATCCTCCTTGGAACGTCAAGTGAGTTGGGTTCAAATAAACATTCGTTAGAAACAAAGGAAAGAATGCTAAACTGTTATGCAATATCAATCCTTCTATATGTCTGTGACTGATCGTCGTTCTCCTCAGATCACAATCCTCCTTGGAACGTCAAGTGAGTTGGGTTCAAATAAACATTCGTTAGAAACAAAGGAAAGAATGCTAAACTGTTATGCAATATCAATCCTTCTATATGTTCTGTGACTGATCGTCGTTCTCCTCAGATCACAATCCTCCTTGGAACGTCAAGTGAGTTGGGTTCAAATAAACATTCGTTAGAAACAAAGGAAAGAATGCTAAACTGTTATGCAATATCAATCCTTCTATATGTCTGTGACTGATCGTCGTTCTCCTCAGATCACAATCCTCCTTGGAACGTCAAGTGAGTTGGGTTCAAATAAACATTCGTTAGAAACAAAGGAAAGAATGCTAAACTGTTATGCAATATCAATCCTTTTATATGTCTGTGACTGATCGTCGTTCTCCTCAGATCACAATCCTCCTTGGAACGTCAAGTGAGTTGGGTTCAAATAAACATTCGTTAGAAACAAAGGAAAGAATGCTAAACTGTTATGCAATATCAATCCTTCTATATGTCTGTGACTGATCGTCGTTCTCCTCAGATCACAATCCTCCTTGGAACGTCAAGTGAGTTGGGTTCAAATAAACATTCGTTAGAAACAAAGGAAAGAATGCTAAACTGTTATGCAATATCAATCCTTCTATATGTCTGTGACTGATCGTCGTTCTCCTCAGATCACAATCCTCCTTGGAACGTCAAGTGAGTTGGGTTCAAATAAACATTCGTTAGAAACAAAGGAAAAGAATGCTAAACTGTTATGCAATATCAATCCCTTCTATATGTCTGTGACTGATCGTCGTTCTCCTCAGATCACAATCCTCCTTGGAACGTCAAGTGAGTTGGGTTCAAATAAACATTCGTTAGAAACAAAGGAAAGAATGCTAAACTGTTATGCAATATCAATCCTTCTATATGTCTGTGACTGATCGTCGTTCTCCTCAGATCACAATCCTCCTTGGAACGTCAAGTGAGTTGGGTTCAAATAAACATTCGTTAGAAACAAAGGAAAGAATGCTAAACTGTTATGCAATATCAATCCTTCTATATGTCTGTGACTGATCGTCGTTCTCCTCAGATCACAATCCTCCTTGGAACGTCAAGTGAGTTGGGTTCAAATAAACATTCGTTAGAAACAAAGGAAAGAATGCTAAACTGTTATGCAATATCAATCCTTTTATATGTCTGTGACTGATCGTCGTTCTCCTCAGATCACAATCCTCCTTGGAACGTCAAGTGAGTTGGGTTCAAATAAACATTCGTTAGAAACAAAGGAAAGAATGCTAAACTGTTATGCAATATCAATCCTTCTATATGTCTGTGACTGATCGTCGTTCTCCTCAGATCACAATCCTCCTTGGAACGTCAAGTGAGTTGGGTTCAAATAAACATTCGTTAGAAACAAAGGAAAGAATGCTAAACTGTTATGCAATATCAATCCTTCTATATGTCTGTGACTGATCGTCGTTCTCCTCAGATCACAATCCTCCTTGGAACGTCAAGTGAGTTGGGTTCAAATAAACATTCGTTAGAAACAAAGGAAAGAATGCTAAACTGTTATGCAATATCAATCCTTTTATATGTCTGTGACTGATCGTCGTTCTCCTCAGAGATGAAGAGGAGAACTAAAGGCAACAGAAATATAGTCCTACCGTAGGATGTTGAGAATGTTATGGACAAAGCAAGAAAGTATCTTAAGGAAACTGGAGGCTTATGTCAAAGGGCATCCCCCAGACGAAGGGCAGAGTCTCGGGAAGGTAACTCCGTTTTTACGTGGTCTTTAGGGAATTTTTGACCGAGTACATGTCAGAGGGTATCCCCCAGACAAGGCTCTGCCGAAGGGCAGTCTCGCGTCTCGGGAAACTGACTCCGTTTTACGCGGTCTATAGGGAATTTTTGCCCGAGCACATGTCAGAGGGTATCCTCCAGACAAGGCTCTGCCGAAGGGCAGTCTCTCGTCTCGGGAAACTGACTCCGTTTTTACGTGGTCTATAGGGAATTTTTGCCCGAGCCTACGGGCTCGGATACCCCACTTTAAACTCGACCTTGTGCCACATCTTGCTGCGTGGGGCAGCAGGTATATATTTTAAGGAAACTGGGGGTGGGAAAAGGACACTTACCCAGAAAGAGAAAGATTCCTGAAAATTCTTCGATATAATGAGGATTTAGAGAATTTGAGACCCACAGGTCATATCGAAGAGGAACAGAAAAAGGCAAGTAGCCATTTAACAGATGAGCTTGTGTGGATGGAGGGTGGAACAGGGGAGGGAGAACTACAAGGCATACGAAGTTGTTGAAAAACATTATCGCCCACGTCCTCAATGGACACGGTACATAAAATAGAAGAAGAAGAAGAAGAAGAAGAAGAAGCAAAGATAATGGTTATCGAGATAGCCTCACCTATCAAAATTACTTTTGTGACCTTTAACCTCTTTTGCTGCCCTATGAGCATGCGTAATGAACCAGTCACTTTGTGGTACTTAATGTCATTCTTAAATCCCCCTTATGTGCTGTCTGTGAGGCTGCTTCAATCTCGGGAGCGGTTGTTTAGACATCAGTCTGCCCATAGATGTCGTTCATACAGATATAGCTGTTAAGTTACGTACTTCAACATTCGGCGGCCGGGGATAACCCCAGGTAACGCTGCACTCTGTTTTCTTTGACGGTCTGGCAAAATTTGAGTGCTATATCTATTCCAGTGTAATGATTTGTCGTTAGACTACTATTATGACGATTCCCGAATCTATATATCTTGGATTTGGGTAATTCTTGACAAAACATGCGTCATGGAATGTAACGATTATAGCAGTTTTGTTCACCACTGTCAATCTTATGCCCTATGATCATTTCAGTGTGCGGTTAGGTGCTTCTGCATTCGGCGGATGGGAGTCCAGCTAAACCGATCGAATTTGGTACCGAATTAATTAGGTTTAATCAAACCGATCTTGCAAGTTGTTAATATTAGATGTGTTCGATATTCATTTGTGTGCAGTATTTGTAGCCTTGTGCCAGACTATTTGAGGCGGAGTAATAGAAAGAGAACAATCTTTTTGAAAAAGGCTGCGAGACAGGGAAATATGAAGGCGAATTCAACCAGACCTTGCCAAAAAAGAGTTGAAGACGAAGCACTATAAAGATTTTGGCAGTCACCCACGATGCAA